AAGAGTAGAGAAGCCACAGCCAGAAACAGTGCCTAGCCCAGCATGACTCAACATGAGCACAGGAACCAGGGCTCAGGACCACCAGGCTGTCATTCAAGTCAGCTCTCTCTACAGAGAAGATTACATGATTTGTAAATCCATGTGGGTATTCAATTCAGTCATAGGACCCATCTTCATAATGGGGCAAATTCTGAGAACTTTATCTTTAGGTGATCTCATTGTTATGTGAACATTCTAGAATATACTTGCACAAATCTGGGGTTTGCTAAATCCATTACTCCAAGTAGCCTCTCAGTGCTCATAAAAGATGAGGCAATCAGATGTGTGAAGATGCTGTCTATGTCATATGCCAGGCTGTTTTACATAAATTTCCTTTTAACAGATAGGAGGACACTCTGAAGTAATGGTCAGGTCTACTAAATACAGAAGCCACTAGCAATGATTCACCACCGTTTACCAAGTACACACAGCAATGGTAATGTTGATGTTTCCACCCCAGCCAGCATCATCACAAACATGAGTGTAATGAGCATGTGCTGTGACAAGGTTCTGAAAGGCCATGGCATCACCAGGCAGGAGAAAATTTTCAGCTCCATTAAAGTGTTAAGAGACTACCACCCTATGTGGGGGTTCTTCTGTATCCATGAACATCCTTATGCGATGCATTACTAGACTCTGACTAGTTCATTATCCTAGCTAGACTCAGAATCTTGCTACAGAGCTTGGTGAATTAGGAAAGATCCTCAGACATTGTCATTTCATCATGAATTTCCTTCAGTGGAAGAAAGCAAGAGGGTCAGGAGGGGTCCCCTCCTAGGACTTGAGAATAATCTTTGACATGCAAACTGGGTCTTGTCTTGAGGGTAGAGCTTTCCTCACAGGGTCAAGTTCTCAGCTCTGGACAGAATCCAGTATCCCTTTTAATGCATGAACAAAATGAGGCTGCAAGAGGATGTGGAGAAGCCCTCCAGCCTACCTGCAGAGGGCACTGGTATAAATCAGCAGGTATGTGGTAATTTACATGAGCACTGACTTTTTATATATAAATTTTTATTTAAATTAGAAACAATCTTATTTTAGATATCAATCCCAGTTTCCTCTCCCTCCCAGCCTCCCATGCCCCCCTCAGACTCCCCCATCCACTCCTCAGGGAGGGTGAGGGCTTCCATGGAGCACTGACTTCTGTGAGGCAGGGCCCTGAGGTTTCTGGCTATGAGAATAGGCAAGGTTCTAAAAACAAGGCATGCTGGTTCCCTACAAGATGAAGTAAATCTGTCAGAAAGCTTGGGGTGTGGAGGGTTGTGTGTGTCAACAGGGCTGTGGGGTAAAAAAAAAGGGGGGGCTCTGCATAATTACCTTGTAGTGAACAACTTTCTGACACTGGCCCCAGATTTGCATTCCAAGTAAGAATGTTGGAAGGGTTAGGAATCCAACTATAGGAGCCATTGGTCAGGACCCTCCCCATCATCCAGTCAGAATCTTCTGTTCTTGGGCCAGCATCTTTACAAGTCTCTGTTTTGCCCTAGACCTTGGCCTACTTGTACATTGTAACAAACTGTCAGCTCAAGAACAAAAGTGATTACAAATTTCAAATTTTTGATGGGACAAGGACTACTGTAGTGATGGAAGGAGATAGCAGAAACCAAGATTCTTTTTCTGCCCCTTCTGCCATCTGTCCCCATTGCCCTGACCAATTGTATCAGTAACTCACAGGTGCAAGCATACCCACAGCCCAGACTCAGAACCCCACTATCTCCTGAAAGACACCAGAAGCTGCTCAGTAACTCACTCCCAACCCTCCCTGAGCCTATTTTCCCACCTGAGGTATGCTGCTACTGAAAGATGCCAGGGAGATTTAGGTATTGAGTTACTTGGTACAAACCTTGAAACTAAGAACAGAATTGGGACTGTATCCCATGTCTTGTCTGCTGACTTGGGGTTAGCTTTTGAGGGGTTTGAGGCCTAGAGACACAAAAATGGTATCCTTGAGGTTCCTGCAGAAGGATCAGATTTTACTTCCCATGGGTCAATGTAACTCTCATCACTAGGCCAAGATGCAAAACTCCTTCTCTTTGTGCTCTAACATGGTGGAGAAAAACAGTCATCAACTAAGTCCCCTCAGAAAGTTTTCTGTGCTGCTAAGGAGGTGTCAAAAGGGTGCTCTCCCTCCCTTCATCCACCATGCTGCAGTGTCCCAATCTTTGGGCCCTCCATTTTGTTAAACTCCTGGGCCTCCAGACCTTGAAGAGATGCAACAGAGCAGGCAGGAAGAATGACCCTGACACATATCAGGGGCTCATGGGTGCATGCATCCATGCTTGTGTTTGTGATGTCTCTGCACAGGAGATTCTAATCCCAGATAAGGAACTTTTCTTGGTGAGTGGGCCATAATTTAGGAACAGATAAATGTGGCAAGTGTTTGGTGAAAACGATGGAGCATCTAGGCTGGGTGGCAGCACAAAGCATGTTTCATAGGAGGGGCTGTCTGGGCACTGAGAGTCACCCTTCCCTTCCTGACAGTGCTCATCCATAGCAGAGAATGTAAATGAGGGAAGGGCCTCAGAGCCACTCCTGCCAGCCCCACAAGCCGTCAAGGCTACAGTTCATCCAAAGGAAGGCTGGTGAAGTAGAGCAAAGGCTTCTTTTGGCTAGGACTGTTAAGTCCAAGAAAATATCAAGTAATTTAGAAAACAAAGAAAGTGTACTGAACATGGAGAAATAATGTTGTAATTCAAATCCACTCTATAATCTTTAGTTACCAGAGAATGGAGCTTTGTTTTGGGGTTTTCATTTTCAGCACACTAACATGATTGGCAGGGGCTGATGTGGATGACATACTGGCTAGGGACACACAGACCATTTAGACTTGCTATATCTACATGTCTATTTTGCTCACAGGTTCTAAGGACTGGAATATAGACATTTTGGAGCCATTGTTCTGCCTCAACTCCCATTGTAAAGATATAGGGGAGAACACATGCCAGGAAAGGACACCAGGAGTCTGTGAATACAACTGCTGTGATGTGAGCTATAGTCCCTCAGTGAGAAATACCCTAACCCCTACTTCAATTGACCCAGTGCCCATCCCTGCTGCCCCATAGACAACACTGGCCAAGTGTATCATAGACCAAAGCTTTGGCCACCATTTTAGTGGAGTTTATACATCATGGATTCCTGAGACCCACAGCTGCTGCACAGTAAGAGCCATGAGACCAGCACAGTTCAATACCCCAGTGGAAATTAAAATCTAGGCTCATGTCAGATGATAGGCATGGCTCATTTGTGAGACAACACACACACACACACACACACACACACACACACACACACACACACACACACACACTTATGATTCTGGAGCACAGAAGAATACAGTACAAATATAAATGACTTAATATGTAAATAATATTTTAAACTCATCTTAAATACAAAAGCAGACAAACCAAGATTTTAATGTATTAAGGAGTAAAAGACATTCAAAGAAAAAACTGGCTCTTTTTTTTTAAATCCAGAGTCCAGTTGATAGTTCAACAAGATGGCTTTGAAAATGCAAACTGGCTTCCCTTACATTTGCCATGTTTCAGGCCAGAATTTTCTTTTGCTTCTTGGTTGCAGAGAGCCAGGAAGTCAGAATATGTTGAGGTTGGGGTAGAACAACCTCCTCCACTGAGCCACAGGTTAGTCCCAGAGTTTTGCCCCATGGAACTTCAAGAGGCATCAGTACCCCTGACTCAAGCTCTACTATAGAACTAGCGTAATGGAAAAATCTTAGTATTAGTACAAAAACAGACAGGTTGACCAATGGAATTGAATCAAAGACCCTGATATTAATCCATACATCTTTGAACACCTGATTTTTGACAAAGAAGCTAAAATTATACAATGGAAAAAGAAAGCATCTTCAACATTTATTTTTTTAAATAGTGGCAAAATATATTTAACACAAAATTTATTATCTTAACTATTTTAAATGTACAGTTCAGCAGTGTCAAGGAAAGTAACATTGGTAACATTGTTAACTTCTTCGTTTCACAAAACTGGAATTCTTTATTCTGCATTAGACACATAGGTTTTTTTTTTTAAAAAAAAGGTTTATTTCTGGTTATAAGTGTTTTGCCTGAGTGTGTGTGTGTGTGTGTGTGTGTGTGTGTGTGTGTGTGTGTGTGTGTGTGTATGCTGCACATGCATATCTGTGGCCTACAGAAGCCAGAAGAGGGTGTTTGATTCCCTGGGCCTGAGGTTTAGATGGTTTTGTGAGCTGTCATGTGTGTCCTGGGAATCAAAGTTAGGGCCTCTGAAAGAGTAGGAAATACTCTTAACTATTGAACCATCTCTCCAGCCCCAACATGATTACTTTCTGCCAAGGAATTCTACCTCTTGCCATCATCCATGCTTATCCACTTCTAGCTTCATCCCCTCCTTCTTGCATTCCCTGGCTCTTCTCTGTTGTATTCTTCTCACATATAGATGCTTACACATGAGTGTGTGCACACCAATACATTCAGAAAACACAGTTCACTTTTTTCTCTTGCTTTCTCTTTCTGACAGTTTCTCACATGGACAGAAGAACAAAAGGCCCCCAATTCACAAATCACTTCCCCCAGGGATGGACTCCTCCTCCTTACATGGTGACATCCCATCTGGAACTCTTAGACAGGAAGGTCCAGTGAGGCATCTAGAAGAAATCATTTGAACAATACCCACCAGGTTCAGATCTTTTTAAGGGATTATTATCCAATCACAATGTATTTCTCCTTCAATTGGCAATTGGGAACAAAAGTAGCCCACACTCTGGTGGAGCCTCAAGCTGACTACAGGTGAAGGTCCATCTTGGGTACCAGGGCAGAGTTCATATTTCACCCCTTCCTAACATTGTGAAACAAATAAAAAAGAAAGGGAGGCACACATGAAGGAAGTGTTGGTGACAGCCTGGAAGGATGTTGGTCTTTTATCATGGAGAAAGGCAGACCCAGAAGTGGGAGGGATGCACCAAGACACCCTTAGATATCTTTACATTCTTTGCTCAACAGGATGAACTCGCCATTCCAGGGAAGTGCTCCAACCAAAAAGCTGCAATTTTCTTTCTGAAAAAGACAGCAACAATGAACATCAGTAGTATGTCAAAGGGAGAACTACCCTGCTGTTAGGCATCAGCCTAGAAATATCCTAGAATACAGGTCACCAACTCTCCTAAAACTCCCAGGTGCCCAGCAGAAAATATAAACCTAAAACCACAATCTGCCAAACAACAGTGAATGACAAATCAGATATATGATGTGACATTAGGACACACTCAAGGCTGACATGATTGTCCTAGTGAGTACCTACTATCGCCTGGAGATGATATCCCTTTTTTAAATTGAGTGTGCAGAGACAACTTAAGTCAAACACAATAGGACCCACTCTTTTCATTTTCCTGGCAAATTTGTTTGGTATATACAGTTGAGACTCTCAAAATGGCCCCTGGGAACTTTCTCAGAATGAAAATCCTACTGAATCAAAAACTACAGGTGAGACCCAACCATCTTCAGGTGGAGCCTCATGTGATGCTGGTGTCTTTTCATCTTGGAGAACCATCCGTGTAAAGAAAGGAAAGAAAATACCTCTACAGAACCAGGCCCTTCACCAACCTCAGCTTCACTGGGAAATGAATAGTCTCGGGTTCCCCACTGACTTGGAGATCAAGCAGCACAGGCTTTGGCCAAAAACCTCTTAACCCAGCAAATCATGGCATAGGCTACTCCCTATCCTTCATAGAAGCCCTTGCTTAAACCCAGCTCTTATCAACTAAAAGCCCAGGAAGCTATAAGCCAAAAGCTCTCTAAGAAGTTCTCAGCTGATACACAAATAATAATGGGAAAATGAATACTATAGCTTCCTCATCTACAAGGTAACCCAAGTCTGAGATGGGCTATGCTTGAAAGCTGTCTGGTCTAGATATTGTCTAATCTCCAATACCTGGAATAGGCCTGCTGCAGGTGACTTGTCCCTGTAATCTGTAAATTTAGATGGGTGCACCAACAGACTTCCTTTGTGCCTCCACAGGCATGAATGATTCACCTAACCATCCAGGCAATCTAGTCTCAGTCCAAAATGACAGACTTTCAGCGACCATGTCAATAGTTTCTCCTGCCTCAAAAGTCCAGAGTTGATGGAAGCCTTGGAGTGGGAGTGGCCTTGATGATACCCTGCATCTTCTACTCTGGGGACAGCAAAGCAGACCATATGGGACTCCAAATAAGCACTCCAGACCTCCTAGAGTCTGGGCACCCTAAGATTTTCCAACTACCTAGCAGTCTTGATAACCCTATATGGGAGTTGATAACCCTAGAAGTCACTTAGGGTTGTCATAGATGGCTCATTCATCACTCACCTTTTCCAGTTTGGAGTTTTTTTGAGTGACACAGTTTTCAGTATTGTTTAAAGGCTTTTTGCAATTGCTTCGGGAGATCTGAACATCAATGTGGTATTCCATTCGGTCTGTGATCTGTCAATGAACAGTGATGCAATTTTAATTAAAAATGTTTTGGTATAACTCCCAAATGCTTTGCTATGTACAGACCTTGGTAAGGTTGAATTTGATTTTTGCAGTGCTCTAATCATTAGCAAAACTGACTCTGGCCTGTGTTAGAGGGATGAAGCTGGTCACAGATCATCATCACCAGCAGAGCTATACACTGGATTTTGAAGTTAGTGATGGACTTAGAGAAAGCTGAGAATACTGTGGAATAGGTTGTCCTATTTATGCAATCCTCATCCAGAAACCTGAAATCAGAAATACTCTAAAATATGAAACTTTTAGAGCATCAACATGATGCCATGAGTAGAAAATTATGCACCTGACCTTATGCCACAGGTCACAGTCAAGACACAAGCACACCCTCTAAATTTTTATTTTATGCCCATAGATTAACATGGCTCACCACCTGGGCCAGAGGTGCTTCTGTTTACAGAGACCCATACTGGTCAAAGTTCTGAGAATAAATGGTTCTTCAGTGATCAGCCCTAAACAGGACATCTACATCACTCCTGCAGAAGCTTAGGGAACATTGTAGAAGAAAGCACAGAAAGACTGTGAGTGCCAGGGGATAAAGAGGGGAGCTATGAGGTATTGTCTTCTGGATGTGACCCAGCTATTATGCTCTTGAACCCACAGCGGTAGAAAACCAACACAAGACTAAGTCCGTCATCATTCCATAGTGAAAAGGGGAAGCTTATGAGGCCCCACCCCTCCCTGGAGAGCTAGGGGCAGTTAATGGCTGCTGAAAGAGGAAAATTATATTCCCGTGGTGTAGCTTCTGTTAAGTTGCCTTTGCTTCAGTAAGTAACTCCGCACCTATGTTTATTAAAGTAAGACTCAAAAACCAAACAGAGATGAAGAATAGGATGGGTATTGGAAAGGGCTAAAAATGATAATTGATAATGAGGGATATGATCAAAGTTATAGATAGATAGATAGATAGATAGATAGATGCATATATGAGATTGTAAAACAATAAACATGTAATTACCTTAAGGATATGTACATGGGACATAAGGAATTTTGTCTTTAGATTTAGAACCTATCTCTAAATTATCCCCTTATGTGTATTCAAATATTAAAGAATCCAAAATGACTTGAAATGCATCCTGTCCCCAGCATTTTAGGTAAGAGCCTCTCAATCTGCAATGGTTTTTGTAGACTTTCATCATGCTGGCTCTGCTAGGCTTTAATTTTAAAGTCTCTACAGAGGGAGAATTCAGTGAATCTTTGGTCCTCCAGAGTAAGGCTGTCACTTCCTTTATATTTTCAAGTACACAGAAGGCACAGAAAGATTCAGTATGTATCTAGCAGTTTATCCAGGTTTCTAAAGGAAGACTCGAAGCATGGGGATCATGTCATAGGCCCATCAGGCTCACCAATCTACCATCTCAGTAAGCCAGCCAGGAAAGGTGAGGCCTTTCTGCTTGAGGCCACAAAGAAAGGAGAATATACACCAGGAGACTCGACCATGTTGTCATGTGAACATCCTGACTGTATCCCCACAAGCTCTTTCTATAAATAAGTTAACCAGGATGCTATTTTTTAAATTCAAATTTGGGAACTAGGGACATAGCACAGTAACAGAAGGCATGGGTAGGTCATCATGAAGATGCTTGGTTCAACCACCCAATGCAATATCACCAACCACAACACTAACAGCAAAAAAAAGGACAACCTTGAAACTCAAATTTGATCACAAGAGTCTTAAGTGCTCCCTAACCTAAATATTTGTGTTTTCCTACAACACACTGAAAATCTTAGCCCTCCCTTAAGGCCAAACATGGCATGGTGCCATGCTGGCAGCCTTACAGAAGGAATTAAAATGCCTGGCTGCACTTTCCCACCCTCGCATCCCTGATCCTTCCTGCTGTCGTCTTGTAACAGATGCTATCAGTATTGTTCCCAAACCTAGTGCCAGTCCCTCTGATTCTTGCCTGAGACTTTTTGCTTCTAGCAGAAACCAAGAGCTCCTAGGCCAGTTCTAAACCATGGGCAGAGTGGGCTGGTAGATAGGCAAACCACCCAGAGGATGGCCCAGCTTGAGTGTACTCTGTATGTCTTCCCAGGGTCACAAGACCAACTCTATCAGTCTCACCCTGGGTCAGCCACCTTTGACTGTCATGTCTCTTTTCCCTTCCACCTTTCCAGTGATGCCTGGGATGGCCTCCAAAATATAACACCTGCTCTTAAATCCTACCAACATGCTCTGCTTCCAAGGAAATGCATGCACCCCTCAACAGCCTCCCCACACCTTTAACTTCTGCTCTGGCAACAAGGTCATTCCTGAGAAAGTGACAGTTCTTGCCATTGATATGTACTGGCATCATCTAGAAGAGTTGATCACTGACTGAGACCTGGATACCACCCAGAACCTCATTTTATTAGTACATTTGGTCTGTTTTGTAGGACATTTACTCATTCTACATGTGGAAAACATTGTCTAATGAAGACTTCCCCTGACATTCTGCTCCCCCATGCTGCACCACAACATAAAATATAACTTCTAATTCCTAGGTGAGTGGTTTTCTTTTCAGTTGGACTTCTGGCTCCCTATGGTTGAAAGAATGCTGTCCGTTTCACCATTCCCCTTACAGGAACTAAGACAAAAAATGGCTTATGAGAAATTTACTGCTAGTAACTACACATGCTACATGAGCACAAGAGAACCAGAGGCTGTAAAAGAGGAATTGTGGAGTATGACCAATCAATAACTAATACTACATCATCAACATCATATCCTAGAAATAGAATGTTTATGACATGTTTCCTGAAACATGGGGGGGGGTGGTATGAGTTCTGATAACAGTGACATCGCTGTTGAAAATCTCTCCAATTCAATCATACCACCAACCAACTGAGGTTTCAATTTTCAATTCCTGAATTGCAACAATGGGGATGGGTGTGGAGGTGAAGCTTATACTAAAGAGAACAATAAGAACTGCTGTATTGGGAACTCCAGGAAGCACTGTGCCCATTGGATTTCATACAAACAATGTTCCTTAGAACTGGGCAGTGCATGACTCTGTGAAAAGGGACACACCCTTATGTTAAAATCAGAATGTTGTCACTTCTACTAAACGCACATTGAGTTAAAACATTAACACACATAGATCAGCAGCTCAAAGCACATAGTGCTCTTGTAGAGGACCTAATTTCATTTCCCAGAATCCTGTGTGATTCACAACTGCCATAACTCCAGATTCAGGGTTTCCAATGTCCTCTTCTATCCATCATAGGCAACTGCACACTCCCCAAACACATGCATGCATGTACTTAATTAAAAATCAATTTAAAACTTAAAATTAAATAATCCAGGACACTCTAGCAATTAACCCAATACAGGTACATGTCCCTCTGTATAAGCCCACATTCCCTGGTTTGTGGAGCACTTGTCTGTGGCAGCATTGTTGCAAAATATTCCTGGTGTTTTGTTTTTCCTCCTAATCTCAATAAACACAAGAACATTCGATTTGAAGTTCAGAGTTAATAGGCTAATGTAAGTGACTAGAACCTGAGCCCAGCATTTGTGGGAAGTGCCATGTGAGTTTATTGCTTTTGTCACTGCAAATATGTGCATAAATCACACAATTAGGATTGTGCTGATAACTTTTATTCTCATTTGTCTACTCTCTCAACCTGACCTCCACCTGTGCCACCATATGTAAATAAATGACCTGCTAGAATGGAACTTTCTTACCTGAAGCTTAGCATGCAGTGTCTTGTCCACGAGGAAGACATACTTGTCCTCACTTCCCTTGTTGTATTCTTTCATAGCAAACCATACACACTGCTTCACATTGGCATTCGAGGTATTGATGGAATCAAAGAACCTTGACACCACTTCATTCTTGGATTGATCCACACCAACTGCCAGAGCCACTGGAATAATGAGGGTGAACATGGAGAGCCACAAGTGTTTTGTCATGGTCTCTCAGTCAAAAGGCACAACAAGAGCTGTGTCCTCCACGTCCTCTTGGAGCTTGAGCTGCAATGGAGCAGCCACAGATGTCTCTGTAGGTCTGTCAAACTAAGTAACACACAGAAAGGTTCTCTGAAGACTGATTATTGGTGGGGCCATGAGAATTGCCGAGAGGCTTAAGGCTCTTGCTGCTGAATATAAAAACCTAAGTTCAATCCTGGGACCTACGTGGTGGAAGCAACTCCTACAAGTTACCCTCTAACTTCTACGAGCATGTTGTGACATATGTGATACACACACACACACACACACACACACACACACTAAATGTTTTTAATATTGATTGTGGGGCTGGGTAGATGCCTCAGTAGGTAAAAGCACTTGTAGTGGAAGCTTGAAGATGAAGGCTCAGATTACCAGTACCCACATAGATGCAGGGTGGGTGTCATGGCCTGTTTATAAATCCAGCATCCTGGAGGCATGGCAGACAGAAAATCAAGATAGTTAAACTAGCCAAATTCTTGAGCTCTTAATACATAAGGCAGACAATGACTGAGAAAATATCTGATGTCAACCTCTTGCCACCACACATATAAGCACACAGGTGCACAAGTAACACACACACACACACACACACACACACACAAAAAAAATATGCATATACATATGTCACCCCCTCATACACATTCAAAACATCCTTATTATATATACTTGGTAGTGGCAGAGCCTTGCAATGGAAAAACTGTGTTCCTCAAAAAGCAGTGAGCATATTCATGGTGACTGAAATAAGAAAGAAGGACTTTATCAGACTTTGGAAATGAAGCTGTAGTTGCAAGAATCAGTAATGAGGATAGCATCGGTCCAAGGTTAAATACACAATAGTGGGTAGCTGTCCTTGCAAGTGTATCTTCTGTGGAAGGCTGAATGGCTTTTGGGTAAGATTATGGTCCCAGCAGAATCTTTGAGAACCGTTTTTGTTATCAGGCACACAGTTACAAGTTCAACCTCCCCATCAGAGCTTCCAGCTTTGTTCCATTTATGGATCTGGTTAAGGCTTCAACAAAATGACTCCATTTCACTTCTGATAAATTTTTCAGTTTAAGGATCTTAGAAAAACCCACCTTCTCAGCATCAGTATAGCCAGATTCAAGACATGGCTCTTTGGGACACCCTTGTGAGCCACCTGTCTCCTTGTCTTAAAAAAATCTGCCAATAGCACCTCCAGTTAAAGGGGTTCTGCCACTGGCCTTTGCCTCTTGCCTCCATCCTGAGTACAATCCATTCATCTAGAGAAGCTTCCCCTCCAGCAGACTCTAGCATGTTTTCACATGGCCCCATGCCTGCCACCACCTGCTGTATCCTGTAAGCTAGAACTATAAAAACTTATGTCCCCAATGTTCTCTGGCCCTACTCCTCTATGACTGTCCAACCTGCTCGTCCTGCTGGAATTCTTCCTCACTCTGGCCACTCCAGCTTGTGGTTCTTCTGGGTCTCTGACACTCTCAGTTCACACTTATGTTCTGGCCAAGCAGCACTCTAAAGCCTGGAGGCCCAGGCCCTACACAGAGGCCATGCTTTGTGATGCAATATAACACTTGTGACCATGCCACATAGCAGCATCCCTTATCTGTTCATCCTCTAGCCTTTGGCTCCAAGCAGCCAGAGTACTGAAGATACCAGGCAAGCACCTTCCATGTGGGGAATCCATGTTCCTACTTTGCCTACCTCAGCCTATCAGATGTCTGGCCCCTCAGCTCTATGTGCTTGGGCCAACAGCTTCTCCTTCCACTGTTCTACCAGACCTGGGCCTGAGAGGGAGGAGGCAGGCTGTAGATCCTGCTTTTCTGTGAAGGTCCCAAATTCATGCTAGCAAATTCCTGGAGGAACAGCAAAGTGAGTATTCACCCCAGGCTGCAAAGACTAATAGTCTTTTGACAATGCAGTACAGGCAGCTTGTGAAACACTGTTTTTAAGCTCTCTTCCACTGGATAACTTAGTGGCTTCTCCTTCTCCACTGTGTCTAAGAGTCCTGTACTGAATGCTTCTTAGGTATCTTTGAGAAATCACACAAAGAACTAGATGGGGAATTGTTTACAAGAGCTGCACAGAAATAAAAAATTTAGTATTCATTGCCAGATCTCTAATCACTAAGAGTATGTTCCTGGTTTTTCAAATTTTACTCTGTATAAAGAGCATATAAAGAGATCTAGAGATCTCTCAGCAGTTAAGAGCACTTATTGAAAACCCAGGTTCAGTTCCCAGACACCACATGGTGGCTCACAACTGTAACACTAATCCCAAGGGATCCCATACCCTCTTCTGACCAGGCATACATGTGGTGCACAGAAATACATTCACTCAAGACATTCAAACACATAAAATAATAAATTAGTAAATCTAGAAGAATTGAAGCAATTAGGGAAGTAAGTCCTGGCACCCCAAATAAAATCAGAGGGCCTGGAAGTAGGGTCAAAAAACTAGGTTTCAAATTTCCCCAGTGGTGTCAATGTGCTGTCAACTTTGAGAACTGGTAGAGTGCACCTTATTTTGGGGGTGTCAATATGAGCCCAAAGTCCTGCAGACCATGTTCAAATGCAAACACTAATTTGTGGATCAGGAGCCAGGCCTGGTATTCTGCATTTCAGATCACAGTTTGAGTAGGAAGATAATGACTTGTGACAATCCTCAACCTCTTACCTCCAGCCTAATTATACTTTCCCACTTGTCTATAAGAACAATTATTAACTTGATTTCTTCCATATCATTTGTATTATTCCCAAGACTAGTCATGTTTCTCACAGTATGGCTTCTGCTGCTAATGTCTCATTCATTTAAGCCATTTCCTAAATGTAATCTTTGTCCTTTATAAATTAATTTCAAAAACCATAGATGAATTAATAGAAACATTAATGTTTGTTTTTAAATATACAGAGTAAGTCTGCTGTCCAACATACTTTCCACCTTATAAATTTATTTGTATTTTATTTTTGTTAATCTTTTCCATTGAACTTATGATTTTTAAAATAATATTTATTTTTTTATATCTAATTATGCATACAATATATTTTGATCTTATCCATCACACATCTCAGTTCCTATTTCCACCAAGCCATCTTACTTCCTGTCTGTCTGTACAGACCTCCAGATCTCTATGGTTAGCTAGTGGCAAGCTCCATTCGCTGATCTCTAGACAGGCTTTATTTGTACAAGCAAGCTATCACCACAATCCACCTCCATTATATCCTTTCAAGTCACCTGGAACCCATAAATCTATCTCCTCCCAACATCATACCATCTTATATCATTATTATCATCACTATTAATCCCCTAAGTCCATTTGATGCTCATCACATATTAATTGATGTGAGGCCACCCACTGGGACAGAGGCAACCTACCAACAGCCACATCCCCAAAGAAAACTTAAAATTTTTATGTGGACAAATTTATCTACATCTTTCTTTGTAGCTTCTAGCTTTTGTGACATATATTAAACTGTCTTCTTGGCTTAAAAAATTAACTCTTTGGTTTCATTCATATTTAAATAATTTATCAGATTATCAAATATACTCTCAATATACTTTTGAGATTGTAAGCTGGTACAATTATTTTGGAAAGCAACTTAACAAAATACAATAAACCCCTAAAATCGTCCATGTTGTCAATATTTGTCTCAATGATGCCAATTCAAGTCATGAAGCAAAAATTTTTGGAAGTCTGGCAACCATCACCCCTACACACAATTTACCTATTTCCCTCTGTGATGTGAGAAACTGTCATCTAGACCAGTGTCAACCTTCCTAATATTGTGACCCTTTAATACAGTTCCTTATGTTGTGGGGATCCCAGCCACAAATTATTTCTGTTGCTGCTTCATAACTAATTTTACTACTGTTATAAATCATAATGTAAATACTTTTGGAGACAGAGGTTTGCAAAAGGAGTCATGGCCCACAGGTTAAGAATCACTGAGCTTGGCATTCAGTAAAAATCCTGAACACAACACACTGTTATTTATTGCAGTGTTCATGTTTGGCACAGAATCAGTGATCTCTGGATATGTTCATCTTACAGAACCACTTTGGATCTTTGACTTACAACTCTCCATTTTCTGTCCCTTCCCCTACTACACGTGTGTCTTCATTACTTTTTGTAATTGTTGTGGCAAAACCACGACCAAGGCACCTTATTAAAAGATGCATTTAATTTGGGGGCTCATGGTTCCAGATGGATAGAATCCATGATCATGGAGTAAAGCATGGTAGCAAGAAAGCAGGCATGGCACTGGAGTAGTAACTGAGAGCTTACAACATGTGATCCACAAACAGGAAGGAGAGAGAGAGAGAGAGAGAGAGAGAGAGAGAGAGAGAGAGAGAATGAGAGAATACATGGAACTAGGAATGACATGGGATTTTTAAATCCACAAGCCCATTCCCAGTGACACACATCCTCCAAAAAGATCACACTTCTTAATCCCTCCCAAACAGTTACACCAACTGTGAACCAAGAATTCAAGTATATGAGCCTGTGGGAGCCATTCTCATTTAAATACCACAATGGAGTAGCTGCTATCTCACTTTTATTTTTGCTTAGCATGGTGGTCCTTCAGTCTATTAATGTTGTGGCAAATGGTAGAATCTTTCTAAGACTAAATAGTATTGCTTTGTGGACCTTATTAAAGGATGCATATGTACCACATTTTCTTGGTCTGTTGACTCATTCAGACATTTCAGTTATTTCCAATTTAGCTATTATGAGTAATGTTTCAATGAGCACTGCAATACAGAATCTTTAATAGATAGTCATTTCATCTCCTTTTGGCATGTACCCAGAGGAATGGCTGCAGTGGCAAATAGTTTCAAAGCACCAATTGAAATTTAAAATAAAGCTACCATACAATTGAAGACAAGAGTGACAGATGTAGCATGTAGTAGCCCTAGCAATGAGCTCCAAGCATGGACTCAGTAAAAGTTTGCAAGAGGATCTCATTTTTCATAGTGCGAGGGCTAGGATCAGTCAAATAGGGACCACAAGCAAAACACCACTTGAAATGAACAGAGCTTGTAAGACGCTGGATTTCTTCAGAGAGCTATCTTCCAACCTTAGCCACAAAAACCAATAAACTAATGTATTGTGTAGTGGGGACTTGAGATCTACAAATTTTTTACTGTAATAGAGACAGATGTTTGTTCTAATCTCTCAAGGAAATGTAATAGGAACCAAGGAGGATTTTGTGTGTATCAAGGCAAAAAGCAATTGGCATATCATGAAAACTAGGAAGGACAGGAACCTTCCTGAAGTGTAATAAGAGTTTCTGGTGAAGGTGTCCCTGCCTAGAAGCAATGCTGGTCAGAAACAACATTGGGTCCATGGACAAGAACTCCACTCTTCAACTTTGAGAGCTCCCATAATAAGTATCCAGCAGTGTGGCCACATAGATGCAACTTCGTAATAAAAGCATGTCAGATGTTGAGGTGTTACAAATCCTAAACTTATGTCTGAAGGCCCAAAGCCAGCTGTCGTGCTATATTCAAGGAGCTGTCAGAGCTGCTTCTAAAAATGCTGTCCATGCTCACTATGACAAACTCACAGGAATGGGAAGACCAGGAAAGAATTGACTCCGCCATAGATCACTGAAATTGAGGTTTCCAGACCCAAAGTATAGGAGGAAAGATTACACAGACTTCCCATTCTGAGTATTCCTCCACATAGTACTGCCACTGTCTTCCCTACCCTGTAATGTCCTACTCTCCCACTTGCCAATCTCATGTCTCTTCAAGGCCATTCCCAGAATCTAAGAAGGGAGACTCAGTGTTACCCAGCCTAGAAGTAGCACAATGCATCTCTTGAGGCAGTCAATAGTGATGAAAGTTATAAAAGCCAAAATGGGACCTGAGTGGGAACACAGGCTTCCAGTAGCAGGTAAGAACATTGAAACTAAGATACTGTTTTGTTTTGTTTTGTTTTTTTAACTGTCATGCCTGTCACAAGAAAAGTTCTTGTCAGCAGCTATCAATTTCCACAAAGGTAGAATCTCTGTCATTTTCAGTTCCCAAGACACACACACACACACACACACACACACACACACCATGGCCCTTTTGAAATCCTGCCGAAGAGTCACCCACTGAGATCCAGGTCCCTGAGATGAAATCAGAAAGGAATGCAGGTGGCCGCTCCCTAAAAGAATGTCTACCTTCCTTTCTGGGCACATGAATGTGGGATATGGAGAAATTATAGAATGAACGAATGAATTACATACAAGCATGAAATTATAGAAAATTAATGAATGAAACATTGAAATAAACAATGAACTAGTTCACAGAATCTACTCAACACTCTGCACCTGCAGATAGGGTGATAATAATAACAATAAAGTCACCATTGCTCATCACTGACAATGGTATCCATGACAAGTAGACAATACAGAAAACCTTAAACACTCTTGAGGCATCCATAATGTTCTGTATATGACTTTAATTACATTGGTTCTAAATAGACCTTAGACTACTGTCACCCTCAGATGAAAGGGAACTTTGGCTGCAGGTACACAGAGACCCCTGCCCCAGTTATGTATGCACACAGGTACTGTTCAAGATGGTGAACTCAGTTATCCATGCTTCAGACTCCACAATATAAGTGCAGCGTGCCTGGAAAAAAATAACAAAGCATAAATTAGAAAAAACACAATGCATCAAGGCTATCTAGATAGTAGGGACTTGATTTGTCAAAATTAAGTTTTGGAAAAGAGAGTTAAAACACGTTAATCTAGAGAAAGACTCATAAAGTTCAAAGCTCCACCATGAGAAATGATATAAGTTGCAAAATCTCCACCACCTGAGCCCACAATCTCCTGAAAAAGCATCTGGCCAGGGCCATCACCCTTCTTGAGGCATTCTGTCCTCAGAGATTCCCTAACACATATGGTGACAGATGAATTTCTACCCCTTCCCAAGGGTCCTGGAAGTTAGGGAATTCTAAACAAATTATCTGTTAGAAACTTCCCAACAGAACAGCCACACAAAGTCAACCCAAATGAGGCTACATGAAGGCTGTTAGTTGAAAGGTGAGACCACACCCTGCTAGAGTCCCTCTGATGAATAACCATCCACAAGGTCCAAGATCCCATGGATCACATGTCAGCTATAGGACAAAGGTGTCACAAGAATCATCTTTAAGACCCTAAAGGGAAAGCCTGAGTGAGCAGACTAACTAAACAGTTCTCATCCCCCTGCCCCGCCCAAATAAATGAACAGTGGAAGACTAATGGCCAAAGGGAAAGCATTCTTGGACCTTCACAGGTCTCTGAAGGCATAGAGCTTGAACCACAGAGAAGTCTACATCACAGATGAAGGCCACAGGGGAATCTGCAGGTTTTCTGTGGCTGGTCAATCTGAGCAGAGGACTGATACAGCACTGGAAGATAGGTTCCACCTGTTTACTATGGTTCCCTTCTGCATTCTTCCCCAAAAGTATGCTGATGGAAGGAATTAATTTCATCTCAAACCTTTCTCTCTCCTTGGCCTTTCTGCAATGGGCAATTGTCAATGTCTTCGTCATGTTTCTCACAAACTGTACGGCCCATCTCCAGGTCTATTAAAAATATCGAATCACCTTTCTGTCGAGAAGAAATTGTAAAACCATTAGAGTACTCACTATAAAAGCAAGCAGAAAATGTGAAAGTTCAAATAAAGCAATAAATAGCACATAACACATACCATCTTGTTTCTCTGTTGTTTTATGGGGGAGGGGTTGTTTGCTGTAGGTTTTTTTTTCTTTGGTTCTGTCATTTGGCCTTTTTAGACAAGGTCAGTATGGCCCAAGATGACATCCAACTTTCAGTCTTACTGTTCCTCAGCTTCAAAAGTGCTAGGGTTAACAGGCATGCTCTTCCACAGCCTGCCTCTTTTAAATCTGTTTTTTTTTCAAATTTTTCTTTTAATTCTACACAAAAGGTATGTCCATTTACCTAGGGATATATCTCAGTTGGAAAGTGTGTGCTTAGCATCGTCAAAGAAGAAATTTTGGTCCCCAGAGCTCCCATATATCTATTAAGCACAAGTAGGGTAAGCACTGGGTCTCCTCTCAGTCCCTTTTTCACAGGTAAATACCTACCAGTCTTATTGAAAGGGTGAGGAGTATTCAGGGTGCCACATATTCACACAATCAAATCCACAGCAAAGAACGTGGATATGGTACAGCCACACACATGACACTATGACAATGATCAAATAGTCACACAAGCAGCATCAGAGGTACCTGCTGAATAAATGATTCCTTAGCCTAGAGTAGGACAGTGGTGAGACAGCCTTCAGTGAGCAGGTAGAGCAGAAAACACACCAGCCCCTTTAAGGTGTAGCTTTCATGTAGGCGCTGAACACACAGAGCACTCATCTTGCAAGTACTTAAAAGAAGTGGCTATCCAGTATCCCCGTATTATTCTCAAAATCCTATGCAAGGTACTTCCCTAAACAGAAGTGATTAAAAACTCAAGAAATACTCAAACATGGAGGAGAAAAAAAAATCTAACCAGGAAATCCTCCCAGGGTGAAGCACATATCTCATTCAGAACACCTGGGAACTATCTGGAAAGATCACTCACGGGTTCAGGAATCCAAACAGATGGCAGCCATATGCACTCACACCAAGCACAAGGCAACATTCATACCCACTACAAACCAACAACTCACTTGATCAAGACACACAACATCACAATTGTGCCCAGAATCCATCAATAACACCTTTATACACAAGCCTCAGCTCACATCAACAACACTCACACACTTGTGTCAGACACACACTAACAGCACATAGGTACTGTCTCATACACCGAGACCTTCCATAAATGCCACACACAATGAGTTGGGCCTGGAGCCCCTGCCTGGAAGCAGCAGGAGATGATCAAATTCTAGTAAAGAGAGCACTATGACCTAGGGCCCAAGGCTGGAATCAACCTTAAGAAGTGGAATCATCAAAGGACAGGAAAGGAAGGTCATTGTATCCCTGGGCAGGAGGGAGGTTCCTAGACCAATGACTATAGATTTATGCCACAAACCTGTGACCTTCTGCAATTTCACCTGGCTCAGAGATCTTCATGTAGGGGTTGTGATTCGGGACGGGCACATGATTCCATCCAAAGGGAGAGGCAGGAAGACTGTCCTCAGTGGGAACACTTCCATTGACAGATGCTGATGCCACCCAAGTGTATCCAGTTTTTACCAACTTTATAGTCAACTTCTTTGGTGGCAGTCCCACAAGGAGGCTTCAGAGCTACACCAATGTGACATGACTACTCTGATTGCTTCATTCCTTCCTCAAATTCTCCTGTTCTGTTCTGTTCTGTTGGCAAACAAAACAGATAGCCTTCCTGCCCCTTTAGCTCCGAAAAAAACCTAGGATCCCTCCTTGGCACCACTCACTTTTCAGTCAGATCAGCACATACCACATCTGCCTCAACACCCAGTCTGTGGTGATCAGGGCACATTCTCTCTAACTAACATGGTCTGAAGCTTCTTGTCTGGTGGAAGTGTGGACCACTATACTCAGCAAGCCTTCAATGAAAAGCTTGAGGAGTGCCATCCAGTGGATTCCTAGTGCCCCCAGCTTGGCATCCTTACTGCCATGCCCTCCTGCTGCACACCTACATCTCAGTATTTCCTTCCCCAAGACACAATTCATAGAGCATAGTACATCCCACCAGGAGACTCGTGTCTCCTGAGTACGTTTGGTTCATCCTCTTCCAGAGGTCTATCTGTGACAACCTACACGTACCCCCACACACACACAGAGCCATCACTTTCTTACCTTCTTCAGCTCCCTGGACCCTATGTCACTGCACTCAGCCAGCCTGGACTACTATTTTATTCATGGATTTGGGGCCAACTTGCCTGTTGTGTCTTCACCCAGCAGTCCGAAAGAATGGATCCCTGTCTGGCTTCACAGATGACTGCCTGCCTGAACATCATCTCAGCAGTGATATCAATGTTACCAGCAACCCAGAATACATCCACAGCTTGCTGAGCAATGCCCACCTCATCCAGCTCCGCAATGTCACCCTGCAACACTTGCTGCCAACTGTCTGCTGTGTGGGGATTGGTTTCTTCTCATTACTGTGCCTGAATCTCATCTCCTGTCTCTCTGCTGTTCTGGCTTCCCTCAGTCCTAATTTGATTGCCCTCATCCTGAACTCAGATTGGGACACTAATGCTTGCTTTTTCAGAGACTGCACTCACTTTAAAATAAGCCCCAAATTCTGAGGTTTTCTAGCACCAAATTGGGTATCTTTTAACATTTACCAAATGAAAGACTTGGTTTCAACTTACTGCAAACCCAAAAGTCCCCCAGCCCTGCCAGGTACTGGAATGAATATAGGTGTCACACAGGCTGTTTACCTGATGCAGGCTTCTCCGGACTCTCAGGAACTTGTAGGCAAAATTATCATCTTGGTTTTCATTGAAGTGGAACACAACATACTCCACAGAAATGCCAAAATACTTATCATTCTTGCTGATTTCTACGAATTTGAAGCTGCAATCATGAATTCCCAGCACAATAAGCCCCACAAGTAGGAATACCTTCCACAACATGGCTGTCTTCAGTGTCTGCACCGGGAGCTGAGAATGCATTTATCGGTGGAGAGGTGACAGAGCTGCAGATGATGATGCCATCCCACAAGGCCCTGCCCACAAGAGAGAGGCCCTATGGGGCTAAAATCCCAATTTTGACTAGGGCATCTGGCCAGTGTCATCTCTACTCCTCCACCTTGTCCCTCCCTTCATCTGAAAGCAGAAGGCAGGAGAGGAGGTCACATTTTCCATACCTTGGTGACATAAGTCATAGGCTCACGAGCATTCATGCAACATACCCTTTGCCTGTACATTTCCAAGCTTGCCTCCCAAGCCTGGACACTCCCTGGAAAGAACTGATAGGAACTTTGGGATTCTAAGTCCAACTGGCTTCCTTTTACTGCTCTGAATTCCTGAACTGGCAGAGCTACAGAAACTCTCATGAGGTTAAGTATTGGGAGTTAAGAAGTCGATGTCTATGACCTTGGCGCCTCAGAGGAGCCCAGTGGGAGGGATCAGAGTCAGGACTGGGAGATCATCTTCTCTACCATCTCTGCAGTATGGTGGCCAGCTCATCACCCCTGCCTCCTTCCCTGAGACCTGCCCTGCCCAGCCTGTGCTTTGCAACCCAGTGCTAGGTAGAATCAGAATGGGAGGCAGTGGGTCTGTAGAGATAGACACAAATGGCAGCCATGGGCCTAGAAGAGGCACTTACTAATATATCCACACCCAGTTTTGCCACTTGGCCCTGTGCCAGACTTCTCAGGAAAAATTCTCCACAGTGCCTCGCTTATGGAGAAACTGGCAAAGGGATGAGTAAGCTGAAAGGTATGAAAGTTGCCATTATGGGAAAGGACTCATGCTCAAATGGGTCCTCCCTTCCATGGGAGAACAGGATACTTGAACCTTGATGATTCCAAAAACTGATGCAGAAATTAACAATTGCCAGGAGTGGAACTGTAGCTCTGGTGTGGAAAGGGTCAGGACTGTAGGCATGACTGCATATGCCTTCCTGCAACTTCCAGGTGGGGGGAAATGATCTCTCAAAATGGCCTGATGATGAATACAGTTTTAGCGAGATTTCTACTGCTGTGATAAAGCAGCATGACAAAAACCAATTTGAGGAGGAAAGGGTATCTTTTATCTTATAACTTGTCAACTGTCATCCATCCAGAGAAGTCAGGGCAGGAAACCAAAGCAGGAACCTGGAAGCAGGACCTGATGCAGAGGCCATGAATGAATGTCGTATACTGACTTGCTTCTCGTGGCTTGCTCAGCCTTCTTCTTATAGAACTCAGGACCACCTCATAGGGATGGCAACACTCACAGTGTGCTGGACCCTCTCACACCAATCATTAATCAAGAAAATGCCCTACAGACTTGCTTACAGGCCATCTAATGAAAACATTTTCTTAACTGAGGTTCCTCTTTCCAGATGACTCTAGCTTGTGTTAAGTTCACACACACACACACACACACACACACACACACACACACACACGCAACCAAGACAGGTGGTGGCAATAAGGGTGCCTAAAAATGCAGATAGTACTTCAGAGTGCTTGACCCCTTGCTTCCCCGGCAGAATAGACGCAAGCTCTTCTATGTGTTTAAATTCCCACTCCTAGAAACCATCTGATCATGTCTTACTGTCATCTCTATGGTGACCCTTCTCATTGTAGATTGTGATATGACTGCCTTCTCCAAACCTAGACTTAGCTTACCAAAGGTTAGCAACTGTCTTGTCCCTCCTGAAGGACTGACCTCTGGATTTCTTTTTTTTTTTTAATTTATTTATTAGTTCCAGTTAGGGAACAAGCTTGTTTCACATGTAAGTCCCTTCTCCCTCCCCTCACCCCCATCCCTCCTCTCCCACCCCCAGAAAACCCCCTACCCCATCCACCCATCACTCCCCAGGCAGGGTAGAGGCCTCAACAGGGGCTCTGCAACGTCCACCAAATCTTCCTGTGATGGTCCTGGGCCCTTCCCCATGTGTCCA